TGGATATCCAACCCGCTATGTGAGCCGACTAATCCCAGGACGACTACCTGCTTTGCAATAGCTCGGAGTCACCATATTTGAACTTCCGTGGCCACAAGGGGATTTTTATTCCTTATTGGATTTGAACCTGGGACCTCCTGGTACTTTTGACCTTGGAGCCAAGCTCAAACCAATCATGCACCACTCTTGTAGTTGTTTATATGCCATCTTTCGTTCAATAACTGATGCATTTTGTAAATGTGCATTTGATACATAAGATATGACATTAGATTCAACAACAAACTTTTTTCTCAAGTTGTGCAGAGCGTAAACTCAGGACACAACGACACTAAATTTAACAAAATCGATTTTTTTTGTTCTACCAAAAACATTTATACGTGGTTTCTTTTTAATAGACACATGTACGAAAAGAAATAAAGCATTATATATGCGAGTAAATTACATTTTCCATCGCTTTAGTGATTTTAAATTTAGGGTAAATTGCATTAAAAAGTAACGTACTTTAACTTGATATATATTTTGGGCAATGTACTTTCATAACTTCCATTTTGGTACCTAGATGTAACATTTTAAACATTTAAGTACCCGGGTAACCGATTACCATGCTGATGTGATGAGTTGGATTGAATAGCAAATAATACTGAGTTGGATACCGCATCACTCGTCACATCAACATGGTAACCGGTTAATGCTTCAACCGATCACTCGGGTACTTAAATGTTTAAAATTTTATATCTTAGGTACCAAAATGAAATTTTTGAAAGTACGTTACTCAAAATAAGAATCAAGTTAAAGTATGTTATTTTTTCATGCAATTTGCTCTTAAGTTTAATAGAGTCAGCCTCTAGAGTGAATTTTTAACGAACCCTATCATCGTGGTCTGGTTTTAATCAAAGTGTGTTTGACATATTTGTTGTCACATGTTCATAAATGATTCTGATAGTTATCTAGCAAAAAACCACGAACTCGCTGAACGTAAAACTAATTAGCAGTCTGCAACTCAAGGTCAGTCAAACTGGAAGGCAGCAAAAGGAATGAGAATAAACAGTTACCTGTTAAGATCTTATTATTACATTACGTTGTATTAAGAACAATAACGTGTTTAGTTTGAACAACTTAGATTCAATTGTTTCACCATGGTTAAGTACTTCAATTAAGTTGTTTATGCATTCGTTTGGAAGTCTTCCACTGCGATTGTGATCAAGCGTTTACACTAATATGACAACATTTAAGTTATGATGTTTTGCCAGATCAAGAGTTTACACTGATATGACAACATTTAAGTTATGATGTTTTGCCAGATCAAGATTTACACTGATATGACCACATTTAAGTTATGATGTTTTG